CACCAATAGGATGATGGTACACCTAGAAAGTTGGAACACTTCCATTATGAGTTAAGTGACATTGTTGGACGACTAAATGTGTTGTTCTATTTGAATTTTGTTGGTAGGGTAAAGTTGGGACATTACATGGATTTGGTACGGAAAATAATTTAATTTTAGAAAAAAAACAACTCTCATCTAGCTCTAAGCTACAAATTGGTGGTTTTATTTTCAATAATTTGAATAAAATGAACAAAAATATATTTATATATATAAGTAATATTTAATTATTTTTTGTTGTATCCCTCCTATATTACTGGCCTATTTTTTTAAAAAAGAAAAAAGTGGTCATATAACTCTACGGAGAGAAATAAAATTGTTCAGCAGATCAAAATTTTCACCCAAATTTATCAGTTCTATTTGTAACACCATCATGTGCAAAATTGCACTCTATAAGAATTAGAAATTGCTCATTTTGCGCGGATTTTTCATTGATCATCATATTGAACTCCATATTAAAAAACAATTACTGACTCTACCGTGCTGCATCATTTGTCTGCTTTGGTCAGCTTAGTGTTGGTTGTGCAGTTGCTTTTTATGTTTTCATCAGTCTTTCCCATCTGTACCATTGTTCCTTTTTTAACATATATATATATATATATATATATATATATCATTCATTTATCGAAAAAGAATATGAAAAGGGCTGTGAAATGCCCCCCCAAAAAAAAAAAAAAAAAAAGGAAAAAAAAGAAAAAAAAAAAGTAAGTGCCCTTGTAGGTTTAGCCATGTGCAATATTTAGTGTTTTAAATAGACAAAATTGAAATTAAAATGGGTATAGCAAAGTGATGCAATATTTTTTTTGGACAATGATTCAGTCCTATCTTATTAAGACAGATTGTATCCTGCACACTAACGTATCCCAATAAAAGGTTGACACATTTTTTAAACTTCAAAAAATACAAAACATGAGTTATACCCATTTTTTATAGTTAAACTCGCCAAATCTATTTTTTTTCCTTAATCAACTTTGAATATTATTTTTAATTAACTCATGAAAAATTGTATTTCCTACCTTTTTCTATTATTTTTAATTTTCTTAAGATATAAAACTATCCTTAAAAAAATTGAACCTACCTCAACTGTTTTTTATGCATGCTATATGTGAAAGTTATTCATTTTTTCACTCAATTCTACAGTTTCTATCTTATTTGTACAATGTATATACTCAAATTAATAAAAATTTGAGTAATGACGCTGGACTAACACAATAAATTAGCCATGAAATGCAATCCAGTGATTTGTCATAGACAAAGTGAGTGCGTAATTTTTTTTTCAATATATAAAAAGAGATATACACACAAATACATAAATTGTTTGAAAGAGGAACTGGATTTCTTTGCATTAATTTTGCTTTGTCCCTGATTGGAAACAAAATTTGAACAAAATCTCTTACTCGATTTAAGTTATTTGAAAGAAAGAAAAATTACACGCCCGGACAAATATAATGTTTTAACATATATATTTAAAGAAAAAGAATCAATCCTTGTTAAGACCAAATTGAAATCGAAATTCAATCTGAAGCGGAGTGGTGGAGGTCCTGGTAGGGAATATTAGGTTTGAAATGATTGACAGTTAAGGAAAAAGAAAGATGCAGATGAAAATACACAAATGTGAGCAAAGAGAGAAAAAAAATAAATCTGTCGGGTTTAACCCTAAAAAATAGGTATAATCCATGTTTTTGACACGTTAGTATGCAGAACACAATCTGTCTTAATGGGACAAGACTCAAATATTTTCCATTTTTTTTTTTTCTTTTTTTTTTTTTCTCCGAATCATCACAATAAATACACAATCCTTACTCATATACCGACTTTGTCTCTTTAGAGACAATCCTTACGAACCATTTTGAGATATAGATAGGATACTATAAGGCCTTAGTCAAAATAATGCAATTTGAAGATGATGGCATGTGGAAATAATTGGGATTCAAATTAGTTTGTGATTCATTCAACCAATAAAAAGTCATACATGTACTATTAGAAAAAAAATAAAATTTGAAAATGTTTTGCCATCAAAAGTCAGCTTTAAGTGACGCAGTGAGGATTAATAAAAAGAAGTTTAATTGGCGAAGCAATTGGGACAAAGACGGATTCAAACCAAGATTTTCCTCAATAAAAAAAAAATAATAATAATAATAATAAATAAATAAATAAAAATAAAAATAAAAACGTTAAACCGATACTAGTATAAAATAGAAGGCAATGTTACATGTATATGTAGTGGGCTATTTATATTAAATAGCCCACACGCTGTAGTACATCATGTGAGTCATGTCATGTGTCGCAACACATGCGATTCACGTTGAGGCCCTATGACTTCTGTTGTAGCAACCATTCTGATCGACTGGCCCATATTTTTCTTGTTTTTTTTTTTTTGAAAAAAAAAAAATTCTTCGTATTTCATTCCAACCAAACAAATCATATTTTTTCTGTAGTTTATTATGTTGCCATGATAAAATCTAACACATTTTTTATTTCTTTTGAAAAAAAAAGGCCCATAAATCTATTCGACGTGCAATGACAAATGGACAAAATCAAGGGTATAATATTGCACATAAATTACTATATGTGCAAAGAATTTTTGGGTGATAATTTCTGTTTTAATCATTGTTTAAAAAGGAAAAATAATTTAATTATTTACAGAGTAATTTAACTATGTGGATCGCACATAATCAAATTGCTATATTATTTTTAAAACGATCATTTATCTGCGTAAAAAATGATTTCACTCCCAAAATTAATTTCAACTTTATTTATTTTGATGAATAAGTGTAACAATGTTCTTGAAAAACTTAGAGCCCATTAGCATAAGTTATGATATTGTTTTTTTATTTTTTATATTAGTATCCAAATTTGGACCCATATCATATTTGGGACGGCTAATATTGGTTTAGAATAATTTATAACATATCAATTTTATTTTATTTATTGTCTAAACTCATATCACCAAATTAGTAATATTGTGTGTTTTGATATTGTAATGAAGAAATTAAAACAAATTTTCGAATATCCAAAAATAAATTTTCGTTATCAAACATGATTTCAATTTTTATCTAAAACACTCATACAACAAAACGATTATTTTTATATTGACGAAAAAATATAACACCTAAAACACAAAGCATATCAAATAGGCCCTTTAACATCTACCTTTTATGTTGTAAGAAGATGAGTGTTGTGATTCGACTAGACCAAAAAGTTTAAGGTATTAGGTGTAGACTAACACTCAACCAATTTATATCGATTACATTTCTCATCCGGATCTAACCCATTACATTTTGTATAAGAGTCATGCCTAATACTTGATCGATGTCATGTTAAATGCCCGATCGGAACGTGTCTGGGTCTACTCGAGTAGGCAGGGTGGCTCAAGCTACTACGAGGACATTACGAGTTTATATAAAGAAGAATATTATGTTGTGTTTGGTGTGCATGAATGGAATAGAATGCAAGTAGGAATGGAATGGAATGACCATTCTGATTCTATTGTTTTGTTGTAAATATGAAATGTGTAGGAATAAAATAATAATAACCATTCTAGTGTTTGCTTGGACCAATTTAAAATTTAGAATGAAATAAATTTCAAATTGAATTTTTCAAAATATCCCTCTTAATAACAAAATAACATTCTTTAAAAACATTTAAAAATAAATGGTAGTAGTGGCGGTGGTGACGATGGTGGTGGAGGTGGAAAACAGTAATGGTGTAAGTGGCCAGTGGTATTGGAAAGTGGCGGTGGTGGTGGAAAGCGGCGGTGGTGTTGGTGGAAGGTGGCAGTGGTAGAAGGGAATAGTGGTATAGGTGGCAGTGGTGATGAAAGACAGTAAAGGTCGTGGTGGTCGTGGTGGTGGTAGAAGGTTGTGGAAGTTGATGGCGGTGGTGGTGGCTGAAGGCGGCAAAGGTGGTGGTGGAAAGCGATGGCGGTGATAATGGAAGGCGGCAGTGGTGGTTTAAGGCAGTGGTGATGGAAGGCGGTGGCGATTGTGAAAGGCAGTAGTGGAAGGTGGTAGTGGTGATGAAAGGCGGTGGCGGTGGCGGTGGCGGTGGCGAAAGGCGGTGGTGGAAGGTGGTAGTGGTGATAAAAGGCAGTGACGGTGGTGGTAGAAGGCGGTGACTTTGGTGAAAGGCAGTGGCGGCGGCGGTGGTGGTGGTGAAAGGCAGTGGCGGCGGCGGTGGTGGAAGGTGGTAGCGGTGATGAAAGGCGATGGCGGCAGCGTGGTGTCTGTGGTGAAAGGCGATGGTGGCAGTGACGGTAGTGGAAAGTAGTGGGCAACGGTGAAAGTCGGTGGTGGAAGGTCGTGGTAGTGGTGGTGAAAGGCGGAAGTGGTTGTGGTGGAAGGTGGTAGTGATTTTTAGATTTGGAATATAAGAGTTTTTTGGGCAGTTAATTTTTTTAAAAAAATTAATTGGGAATGAAATGGACATTTCATTAGTTGTGGAATGAATTTTCATTCTAATTGAATGACCATTCATATTTTAAATTGCATGCCAAACAAAAGAATAGTTAGAATAGACATTCCATTTCATTCCATTTATGCACAAAAAGCAGCATTAAAAATTTATCCCGCTAAAAAATTGTAATTACATTGTTTAGGGAATAATGTTCAAACAAACTGTCAATAGACGTGCTGAATTGTGAGCCACCACCATTTAAACCATGTCACATGTCAAGTTTTTAACAATTCAATTTATGATAAACGTGCCCACACTAGGAAAATGCAATCCATTTTCCATCCATTGAAAAAAAAAAAAAACCACAATGGAAATCCAGGAATGGGCTTGGAATGAATGTGCAATGTACATTGAAATGTTGAGCAATGAAACGGAAGTATAGGTGTTTGCGTGGAGGAAGTGAAAACGTGTATTAACAACGACTCCGCCACGAAGTCCAAGTCGTCCCCCCCAAACCACCCAATAAATTATACCGAACTACTAATGCAGCGCTAACTAGAAATTAATAAATAACTTTTTTTTAAAATCTTTGGAAAATTTTCTCTTCATATTAGTATAATATACTAGTACTACTATTCATTATTTAATACTCATATTAGCTAGCTAATTTTTCTTTCTTAATAGGCAAACAAATGATGACAGTCTTCTCATTCTTCAAAATCTTCCTCCATGCCGTCAATTCTCTCTGCCTTCCATGGCTCAAATCCAAGACAGCAGCACCCTTAATCATATGAAAACAAAACCCAAAACCAACACCTGCTTTCTTGGTTGTTTTGGATTTTCCGGGAAAGTTTCTGATCAGGAACCGACCCCTCCTGATCACATGGTAAAACCCGGCAGCCGGAAGAAAACCCGGTGGTTTTCATGGTCACGCTTCCGAGCTAAGAATTCCGTTGCCAAAACCGTCCCCGTCGACGTGTCATCGGAAAAGGTCATCAATCGGAGTAAGTCAATCTCTACAGACAAGTCAAAGGTCTCTTCCAAGCATCATATCCCGGCCACCGGCCTCGACCAGAGTCAGGTTCCGGCGGCGAATAAACCTCCGAAGGTAACCCAGCATAGAACCATTCTTCACATTCTTTCTTTTTTTCTTTTATTAATTGAGGGTCAAAGCATACCGATCTCAGCATCTGACGACTTCCATCACTTTTACATGTAAGTGATGAAATTCGTCTGATGCAGCAAAACACGGTGTCCTAACTCCTGTCACTGCCCTTCAAATTTATCTTAAATCACGAATATCAGGTAACACAAGACAAAAACAAGCTTTCAACCTAAAATCATACCCTTCACATTTTTCTTGTTTTGTATTACTATTTACTAAGTACAAAACTTTTTATCTTGATTAATATTGAGCAGAGTATTCTGTTTCAGTGTAAAACGAGGTCCAAAACTGCCCAACATAACATCATCCTCCAAAGTCGCAAAAGTTTGGATCCATTTCAGGCCAACGCGTGTCAAACGCGGTTGTCAGACAGTCGGAAAATAGAAATCCAAAGAACCGGAGTCAGCCAGCCCGGTTCACCGGTGTACCGGACCAACTCCCGCCAGACCACCACCTTGCTGTCTCACTCGGCCCCTTTTCCGGTACAAAGGCACGAGAAACAACCGGCGGTGGGCAAAACTGGAAATTCACGAATGAAGACGGAGAGGAAGCACCGGCACCGCGAAAGTGACACACTGGCCGGCAAATTTGACCAGGTAGTTGGGATGTCAATTATAATGGTGACCCTAATAATTATGTTAGTCTGGGGTAGGTTTTGTGCCATCCTTTGTACGTGTGCATGGTTTTATGTCATTCCTTCCTTAAGAATAAGAGCTGAATCAAGAAAAGAACCCAATATAGGTGGGTCAGATTTGAATTCTGAGGAGTACAAGAAGAAAGTGGTGTTAGAGGGATTTCTTGAGAGAAACCACAGAAATAATGCTTATGGAAGTCCATAAAAGCTAGGTTAGTTGGACTTTCCGGTGCACGTTAGCATTGACACGGTGAACTGGCTAAAGTGAGCCGGAGGTCTGATAGGCTCCCTCTTCTTTCTTTCTCAAAAGGTACGGTTGTGTAAATTGGGTTGGATACATAAACATAAACATAAAATCGTGTACTAAATTTGTGATAATTAAAAGCGGATTTTGTTATAGAAGTTCATTTTATACTATTGAATTTTATTTAATTTTTTTTTTTTACCACCAGTTATGGGGTGGTAGTAACTCATAATGCTCCAAACATTTTCCATGTCCTACTATCATTTAATTTGCAGTTGGGGACGTCACGTGATGTTGACCTGGGAGCACGTGTTAGACTTGGTATTTTCCCCAGTCATTGCGGTCTAATTTGGGTGTCTCATGTCTGGTGTGAAAATATATATATATATATATTGATTGTCTGATTAATGTGACAAATTTTAGAGATTTATGTATTTTATTTATTGATATGATGTTTAATTGTGGAAGATGTTCCTCAAATCAAGAAAACATTGGATAAGATCACAAGAAACACATTTTAAAATGGATACATTTCCTACACCACTAAATGGATTTGGTTGTACCTACTCTTACGTATCCCTCTGCCTTTGGTTATCCACAGTTACACACCTTGGTCATTCACTCCATATGGCCCACTTTGGATTAATATATACTGAAACAAATATTTTTTAATCGAGTAACCTAGGATGAGATTGGTCTGAACAAAGTTGTTAAGAACTCACCTTTAATTTAGCACATTTTTGGTATAAAAAATATTGCCCAAGTTGCATCATTTTTGGTATAAAGCCCATGTTGCATCATCACCTTAGCTAATATTATGGTCCAAGATCATAGTTTTGCCGAGGGCTGCAAATGAGTCGAGCCGAGTTTTGGGTTGTTCGAACTCGGCTCGTCATCTCCAGAGGGGTGCTCGGGCTCGGCTCGTTAAAGTTTTCGCAAGCTCGGGCTCGGTTACACATTGATGATCAGCTATTCAAGAACCCGTGAACGCCGATCTTAATATCTGACCAGAAAAAATAAATAAATAAATAAATTCAAGACACGTATTCAAGATGAATTCAAACCTTACAAGCTTTTATCGACTCAATAAAGAACAAAAATTCAAGATGAAATACCTGATTTTGTGGCCTCGATTTATAGATATTTCAAGAGAGAGAGAGAGTTATGGCATGGAGGGCTACTAGTAGATTCATACGGTGGAGCTGATCCACGAGAGAGAGAGAGATAGAGATAGTTGTGTAGTAGAGGGTTGCCGACGGAATCATGTGCTGGTGCTGCCGAAGAGGATAGCCGTCCTTAACTTGTAGCTTTAGGTTAATTCTTGCTCCCTCTGTCCCTTTATACTAGTCCAATTCCACATTCACAGTTTTTAAGGCAACAACTTTTATGATACTTTATTATATTGGCAAAAGATGCATTTCCAAATTTGCCTTTCTCTAAAAGGTAATGTACGAAAAGATGCATAATGACAGGTTTATTATTAGTAGTATAAAAAAATTATTTTTAATGGGATCCACTTATTTTGAAATTTTAATTAGTTTAATCTTTTAGGGGTAAATTGGGAATGTAATAAAAAGTAGTGTATTGATTTTTGAAATGGGACAACTAAAATGGGACAGTAAAAAATGAGATAATGGACTATTAGGCCCTGTTTGGATTGACTTTTGAAACACAACTTTTGACTTTTGGAGCTTAAAAATTGTTTTGAGTAGTGTTTGACATGTGTTTTTTTTTTTAGAGCTTTTAACTTTGGAAGAGCGTTTTGGAGAAGCTGTAACCTGAGCTTTTTCAAAACACTTTTCTAATAAAACACGGGAAGCTAATGGGTGTTTTAATGAAACTTTTAAAATTCCAAGCGTATCCTTCTCTTTACTCAGTACAAAAATAAAATTTCAAACCTGTCCCTATAAAATAACTCGTCATTTTTCTTCCTCACCACATGCTATGCCGAAACCCTAGCAACAACATTACGCCCTGCTAGAGATGACGGTCTCTGAAATTTCTCCACAAGTAAGCTATCTTCTTCCTTTTCTTCTTCATTTCCAGTCAGCGGCCTCTACTGGGATGAAGAATTATCCCATATTCAAGGTATTTTACATACCGATTTTTTTTTGGTGATTTCGTAATTGGGGTTTTTTTTTTCTTTTCTTTTTTTTTTTTCTGATTGTTCTCAGCATCGCCAAATCAGACGTCTTTCTCATCATCTCATCTTCTTCTTCCGATTCTTTGTTATCGGTCAGATAAAGAGTGACATCATGTTCTCTAAACATCGGCATAACCATTTGGCATAGGATACAAATCAGAATATTCATGTGAATTTTGATCAGAGTTTAATTGATTAGAATTGACTGGTAGTGCTCCGGCGATTCCTCGTGGTACGAGTCCGAATCAGTTCCACCAACGTTCTCTTCAATGAAATCGGTTGCAGAGTTTGACACAACGTTCATAGATTGAGAACGAGACGTTGGGTTTTCAGTTTGAAGTTGATTTTGATGACAAAATTCTCTCTCTGTATACATATACTAGTTATGATGTGTGTAAAATCTTTTTTTTTTAGTAACAATTGTTCTTCAATTAGATACATGTAAATTCTCTTTTGTGTGTTTGTTTGTATGAACAAAATAGTTTCAGTTCATCAATCCATTGAGAGCAATGTGTACTAGTAATTATAAGAAAATTTGCATCATTTTCCTTCTACTGTTTATTTCAAATAAATTTGGTCATGTTCTGTGATGCATTTGGATCTATTGTATGATGAATTTGGATCTGTGGAAGTAATGGATTGAAATGAGCAGTACACATTACATAAGTGAGGGCAGGAAAAATTTCAAAAAAAAAAAGTTTCAATATGATAATGTGATTCATTGTCTACTAATATGGATCCATCCAAGTTTGTACATGATTTCAATTTTGAAGTAGCAGGTCCTAAGTGAAAATACTGGAGATGTGGAGGAGGTGGATCTTCATTACTGGAGATGAAAATTCTTGTGTGAGCAACATTTTTATAAATGTTCTTGGTCTGATAATTTGAAATTGTTGAAAGGTTTTTTTTGGTATGATATTTAGGGAATAATTAAATAAAAACCTGTTTAACTACTTTATGTTGCCAAAATGTTTTTGTTTTTTTTTTTTTTTTAATTTTTTAATAATAGTTGTCTAAGGGCAAAATAGTTATTTTAGTAATAGAAGAGCTTTAACAAATATTTTACCAAATAGACAAAAAAAAAATCTTCTGCATTAAAAGCTATTTTAAAATACAGTTCCCAAACATTAACTGTAATGACCCGGTTATTTGACTTCCTTTCTTTTTTTTTGAAATTTTGCTGATAATTTTTTTCTGTTTAATTTTCTTTTCTGAGCTCTGTTTCTTGTCGCTTAGTGTTATCTCGAGTGATCAGAAATGATTTCTGAGACTCTTTCATGTGGATTGACAACTTCCTTTGAGAATCGAATCATTTTCGCATTTTCACTTTTCGGATACTATACACTATTTCGTCCTTTTCCCTATTCTGTCTCTTCCCTGTTTGTCAGTTTTTGGCACAACCTCACTTTTCGTGTTCGGAATTGGTTTTTGACTTCATGTGTCTTCATCTTCAGTGGTTTTCTCGAAATACGTATCATTACTTTTGCAAGAAAGTATTCTGGTTGCTCCCGGTGTCCATAGGGGTATGGATGCACAACTCTTTGGAATTATTTTCTTTTCTTGGGGTATTTTTTGTAAATATCTTTTGAAGATATTTTATTTCAGGGGTATCTAAGAAAATATCTTTTGGAAGATATTTTCATTCTGGGGCAGTTTTGCAGTTAACCCTTTTTGTAGGGGCCATTGTGCAATTAACGAAAGTTATTGCAAAATATCTCGTACAGGATTCGTTTTTACTTTTCGTTGACTCATAAATTCATAGGATTTCCTTCTGGTCATTTTTCTCCAGTTTCAGAATTTCTGGACCGGATTGCCGTCGAATTTGTTCGGAGCATAACTCTCTGCTCGGGACTTGGTTTTTGACGTCGTTTCTTCCGTTATTCATATTTTCTTATTTTAAATCTTTTTCGTTCAAGGAATTTTGCCGTTTGAGCGCGTTCGCTCAAAATCCACTTTTCCGGACCTGGCAGGACCCTTTTGGGGCACTTTTTGAGACGTACTATAAATAGGATGCCCTAAAGTGAAAAATCACTTTTTCACTCATCTTCTCCAGCTCTTGGCTGGCAGCCATGGGAGCTCCTTGGCTGCCACCCTTTCTCCTTCTCCTCCACTTGATTTCCTTGGTAGAAATCATTCGGCCTTTACATTTATTGTTCCCCTCGACGTGTTCTATCATTCCCCCTTATTAGAATTCATTTCTGATCATTTCTTGAGTTTGGGATTGAGGTCAAGTTATGATTTTCATGGGGCTTCATTCGGATTCATGTAGATCATGTTGTCCTCGAAAAAACCCTTCGGTTTCGGCGGATTCGGAACATATTTTTTTCGGTGGGCCTTTGAGGTTTTCATCTCAAATTGAGGTAAGGGGTGTTATAATTTATTTTCTTGCTATATTCTATGCTTGTGATGCTTATACAACTTGATTACATGCTTGGATACAAAATTTAGAGATTTTATTATTTATTTTTCCTGTGAAGGATTTAATTTTTCCGGTTGTCCATAACTTTGTTTAATCATGTGGCATGATGGAATATTACCCCTTGATATGTTGATTGACATATATTAAATCTAGATCATTTGGACAAGTATTGAAGATTTTATTTAATATTTATCTTGAATAAAATATTAAATCGTGTGGCCTTAACTAGCTTGAAATCAATATGTGTTAGCATATTATATTAGGCCTTAGCATGCTCTTAACATAGGTGAATTTGAGAGAAATTGGAAGTGTTTTGAAATCTAGTAATATTTAATTAATTAAATTGCTTCAAGTGTACTATTCATCCCGTTAGAATTCCGACTTGAAATTCTTGATGTGCATGTCATGTAGTTTCACATATATTTAATCTAGAATATTTGATTAGGTTTTGAAATCTTTCATTTAATTATTTTCTTTGTTTAAGATTTAATCCTCATGATGATATGCAACTTGGAATTAAAGTGTGGCATGCTAGTAATTTAAGTCTTGGTATACTTGTTAACATATATTAAATTTGGAGCATTTGAATAAAAATT